TCGAGCCACCGTGTTATGAATCGTGAAACTTCCGCGTCTCGCCTGTCCGGAGCACAAGCATGCCTGCGTCCAGCCCAACTCCGATAGCGGTTGGCCCCCCCTCATGCGGCGCACTGCTGAAGCTTGCGCCTGCAATATAATTGCAGCCAGCGCCCGGACGTTGGCCGCGCCGAAGAAGTGGTAACCGTGACAGATACGGTATTGCGGGACGTTGATGCTCAAAAGTGGCATCTCTGCCGCGGCTTCTTTGAATTCAGCGTACCATCTTCGCCAGCCAGCCCACACAGACGCCCTCGAATTCCGCATATTTCGAAGGTAAATCCGCGCCAGCCGCAGGAGGTGCAAAGTCACAGAAGTCTCGGTCACAGATTCTCGGTGGCGCGAAAGCCCCAGTCGGAATCCTGAGAGCCGGTGCCACTCCGGCGTGCCCTCCTCTTCGTCGTCCTCCGAGTCCTCTGCATTCTCCATAAGAAGAGGCTCTTCTCGTACGACGAAGCCGTGAGGGACTGGCCCAGCTCCGCAGAAAGATGAAGAGGAGCTTCGCCGTCTGGCGCAGGCGCGTCAGGACGCTTACACTGCTACTCTCCTTGCTCCTGGTTGTGCTGCGGCTGCTCAGCGTCTGCGAGACGCCCGTCACCGAAGTCGCACAGCTGTCAGGAGAATGAAGTCTGAGCGGTGGAAAACCCAGGCTCGTGAAATGGAAGCCGCTTCCACCCGTCGGGATGCTGAATCTTTGTTTGGTGACGTTAAGCGCTTGAGCAGGTGGTTTTCCTCTCGTGGCCTCACTCGTAGGCCACTTTGCGCTGACAGAGCTGCTGAAAGCAACCGCTTCTCCACACACTTTGAGCAGGTTTTAAATGTTGACAGGCCCATTGTGGACGCCACCTGGCAGGCACTGCCGGTCCACGACTGCTCTGAGCTTGCACCTGGTCTCTGGCATCCGCCTACTCTTCAGGAGCTCCGGGGCTGCATTGGCAAGCTTGCTCGTGGCAAGGCACCGGATCTCACTGGAGTCCACGTAGAGCTGCTGCATGCACTCGTGCATGATGATGAGCATGCACAGGGCCCCCTCTCCCACATGCACCACCTTGTGTCTGAGTACTGGAGCGGCCGTCCGCTCCCACATGAGCGCTGGAAGAAATCAATTTTGGTGCCCATTTTAAAAAGTGAAGGTGATTTTCAAGACCTGGTTGACGTATTGTCAAGAATGGTGAGTAGGGTCCTGGATGAGCGGTTGCTCCCCGTAGTTGAACACTTGTGCACGGCTCCGAAATGGGATTCAGGAGAGGACAAGGTACGACTGATGCTGTTTTTACGCTTCGGCGTCTGGTGGAAGTCTGGGGCCACACCCCACCTCTTCCAGGCGGTCCTCTGCCAGAGGACGACTATACCTTTACTTGCTCTTCGTTGATCTTTCCAAGGCTTTTCATTCGGTCAGTTGACAGCGCCTCTGGCAGATTCTTGCGGATAAGCTTTGCATTCCGTCACATTTGTTGAAGTGTCTGCATCATAGTATGAGTACGCAGGTTCTCCATGCTGGGCGTCTAGGGCGCACCGTCCCTATGCGGACGGGCGTGCGTCAAGGCAGCGTTGAGGGGCCTACTCTTTTTTGTTATTCTATACACGTTAGTGTTGCCTGAATGGAGGCGATGCTGCAGGTTGCAGCATGGGCCGGACTTTGGAGTCGAATGGATCTCCACGCGGGACGGTTCTCTCCGCGAGCCGTCGCGTTAGACAGGCCGAACGCGACATTACATATATCACTCATCTTGAGTATGCGGATGATACGGTTTCAATAGAATCCAGCTGGAGTCGCTTCTGTTTTTCCCCTAGGTCTTTAGACCAAGCTTTGGGCAAATTCGGGCTTGACCTGAGTCTTACGAAAACCGAGTGGTCCGAGTCGACGATGATACCAGGCTGTGATCGCTTCCAGGACTTGGCTCCTCTCCCAGGGGCGCGCCAGCTCATCATTCGTGGACAATGCATACCGAGGACTCAGGTTTTTACACATTTGGGTTCTCTAGTTGCTGCTGACGCTAGCTTCGGGGTTGATGCCGACGTTCAGCGACGGATCGGGCTTGCTTGGGGAGCATATGGACAACTGAAGCATGTCTGGGCCACCAGACATCTTTCCCGTGCTGTCAAGGCTGCAGTCCTGCGGAGCTGCGTGGCCCCTGTGCTTCTTTACGGGTGCGATAGCTGGACTCTACGCGCCAGGCACTTCCGAGCTCTTAACAAGGCTTGGCTAGGACTTGTTAAAGGAGTTTGTGGGGTGACTTGGGTTGACTTGCGGGATGACCGTGTCACCTCAGACGAGAGCTTTTGCGCCGTGCTGGCCTGCCCAGTTTGCACACGATGCTTTACCGCCGCATCGCAGGTTGGCTTGGTCACGTTGCAAGGCGCACTCCTGGTCACAGCCTTCCCTACTGGGCCCTTTGTGGCAGCTTGCCACACCGTGTCTGCCCTTCCAGTTCCGAGCGTCAAGGCGTCAAGAGCCACTACACATCAACCGCACGACTTGTTGTGCAAGATATGCCTGGCGTCGATGAGCGGGTGTGGGCTCGACCTGCTCAGGACCGCGTCCGTTGGCAGCGCTCTGTCAAGCAGGACTCAGTTCGTGCTGCGGGCACAGCGTCGCCCACAGCCAGATGTTGATCCTCTACAGTGCCCCTCTTGTGACTACAGAGCACGGAAGCAAGGTCTTCCCAATCACTTGCGTGAAAAGCATCCTGTTGCGGCTTCTAGCTGGACGTGCCCGCGCTGCAGTAAGGTTTATAGGCAGAAGGGTTGTTTCACCATGCACCTGGAGCAGTGTAGTGCTGCCCCGGGCCCTGCTGCTGCCCCTCCGCCGGCTCGCAATCTTGGTGGTGAGCAACTTGCTGCTAAGCCGCCTGGGGCTTTGGTGCGCAAGGCTCGGTCTTGAGCCCCGTGTTTCTGCAGCAGTCCGCATCTTTTCAGGCCACACTCTGTGCTGGTCGCGGCTTCAAGATCTTACGGGCTTTCGTTTTGCTTACCCCTTGCAGGCACTTTTCCACTGCACATGCACTGCCTGCCCCGCAAGGCACTCCTCCGTGCACTCTGTTTTCGGGTGCTTGTGGTTTAGGGGTTCAATTAGTTTGCCACGCCTCGCGTCGCCTCCCCCTTAGTTTTCGGTTTAGGCCTCAAGCTTTCTGGATTTCTGCGCCGCGCGCACTGCAAGTATAACAGTCTTCGCCACGGCTTTCTGCTGATGCCTTTTCATCTACAACGGCTACGATATGCTCTTACGAGGGCGACATCGCTCACCGCCGCCGCCAAGGCCTGCGAGCGCTGGAATCCCAAGAGCCAGGTCGCGCTGCCTCAGGCGACAAACCCTACATTCCAGCAAGAAATGTCTGCCAGGAATGGCCAGCAGCTTCAAGCTTCCACTTGCCCACACATTTAAACGACAGGAGCGAGTGAGCGATCCGTGAAAGCATAGTGGTTATGTTAGGCGAGGGGAAGTGGGGAGATAGTTCACTCCACTCCCTCGCACTTTTGTCTAAATTTTGTTTGCAAGTTGCACGAGCTGAGCCTGAATCACTTTCCTAGAGCGCTCTTGATCGAGACTTGTCTTCCTGAAGATCCATCCGTCAAGCATCCTCCAGCCCTCACCATGCGGCACGGTCATGCGCCCTGCTTCGCCACAGGGGTCCCACCGACACTCCATAGAGCCGTAGCCCCTAACAGGCCCTACCACACGTTGGAGGGCGCGGGCGCTTTGTCATGGGTGCACAAGATCGGTGGACACTCCAAAACTTGGCATGAGCCCTGGTTACCGGAGGCTCCACAAAGTCGTACAGCGACATACCAACAGCAAGCATGCGTCCCGCAACCTGTAGCATTGGTGCTGCCCTGACCTCATGCCCTCCGACATGAACCGAGTTTTCGCCGGCCGCATGGGGAGTGCAATACAGTTGGCATTTCTCCGGATTCAAGCGAAGGCCATAGCGAGCAAGAGCCTTTCAGAGCTCCGCTACCGAAGCAAGCAACCTGAATCTGAAGCAAAGACAAGTTTGCTTCTCGCTAAGCTGATGACGCAGATCTGTTCTAAAAGGCAAGTGGGTTTTCGTGAGGAGATGCTCATGCTTGCTATGTGCAAAAGGCTTGAGCAAGGTTGTTCAGCTGGATGTTCAAGGGTCGGGGTTTAAGGTTCAGGCCTCAGGATTTTCAGGGAGGTTGCACGTTTACGTTTGCACGACATGGGTCTGGAAGAAGCAAGCCTGGTTTTGGGCCCAGGGTTGAGGGTGTAGTGTTTGGGCTGGAGGCCCCGGAGTCGCAGTTGTCTCAGGTTTCATAGGGTGTCGGTCGATGGCTGAGTGCTTGAAGCTCGGCAAACATGACAGTTGTAGCACTAATGAAAGTCACGCCAAGTAAAGGACAACAGTACTAATGGGTAAAAGTACGTTCAATAACTAAGCTAGACTAATGAAGACAATAATCAACCAGACTAGTGATGATGATGACGGACGTGCATCGGCGATCTTTGGGTGGGTGGTTGAGTTGAGGTGGCCTTCAGACCTGCTATGATAAACTTAGACGTTGCCAAGCTTGTAAGCCAAGACAGGACCGTGCCATGCAATCGTAACATAATTACACCTACTAGTCGCTGTCGTGATTACCACTTACTACGAAATATACTTTTGACAGAGCTGGACATACGATGAATCTTCCCAGTGTTAAACAGCCTCATTCGGTTCATCAGCTCCCCTTCCGAAGCCCTGGCCTGGCTTTCGCGGTCCAGCTTCTGCGCCTGCGAGGCCCAGGGAGTCTCGGTGAGTCGCGGTGCACGCTGGGAAATTTGGATCTTGGCTCAGGACTCAAAAGACGAAGTGCGATCCAAAATGAATTTTGGAATTGGCCGAGAGAGGCACCACGATCTCAAAGAGCACAAGATCAGCTGTACATCCCCTGCAGCTGTGGCTAACGCGAGGACCGCCTGCCCCGTGAACTACCACGAAAGCAGACGAGTTCCGTCACGCTCATGCTGCATAAAGCGCTTTGGCCTTGGCATAGAGCGCCTTGCCCTGAGCACTCTTGCCGCCTACCGCGCAAAAGCCTTTCATGCCCAGCTCTTTTCTCGCGGTCATCACCGCGCTGATCCACTTCTGCCCCAACTTCTGAAACAGCTTGCCGCTGGCGTGCTTCTTCTTGGTCACCACCTGGTGCTGCGTGGCAGGCTTGAAACAACGTGAAACCAGAAAACACTCTCGATGACGATCTTACCTAGGCTTTCAGTTTTGGTTCCGTCGGTTCGATTCCTATCATCACCTCGCCTTACCGCGCTTATTCTTCATGAGGTGCGTCTTCTGGAGGCCCGTCGCGGTCTTCTCCTCACTGCAGTGCATGCTTGAAGCAGGTTCGCAGCCGGCGAAGCACCCTTACGGCACACTGCTGCAGCAAGGTTGCTTACTCGCTTCGCTATTCTGTAACATGTCACCAAGTCGGATCTCCTTGCGACCCTGGAAGACAACCACCTTCGCCAGCTTGCCCCGAGCGATTTTGCTGATGGCTTTCTTTTTCATCACCTGAGAACTCTGAAAACCAAGCTTACAACCGTTGCGAGCTTGAACAAGAACATGCCCCTGCATTTGCCGGCCTTCATTCCCTTCATGGCCTTTGCCTTCATGGCCGCAGACTTCATTGCCTTCATCACGGTCTTCTTCATAGGCAAGGCCATGGCTTACAAGCGTGGGGCAGGAGTTGGAGAGGATGCAGGGCCGGACTGGGCAAGAAGGCTGAAGCGGAAAGTATGGCATGGATTGCACACGACGGCCCGAATTTGACAAATAGTCGCTTGCAATTCGGTCGTCAAATTCCAATGTCGTCAAATACGTGACTATCTATTTGCCCCATACCTTCCATGATGGCGCACTTCCTACTAGGACATGTTCTCTTCTCTTTCATTGTATGACGACGAAAACAACGATGTCCAAGGTGGCCATCACCAGCGCCTCATCCCTCTGCGTACTTTCACAGCGCCTCCTCCAGGAGCTCGCCGCGCCGGGCCTCGAGTTCGGCCTGCAGGGCTGCGGGGCGCCCGGTGGCTTTCGGGGGGTGTTTGTATGTTGGGGAGTCAGTAGCTTAGAGCTAAGGGATAAGAAGAGGTCCTTTGATACGTGTTGGACTCCGCTGATGGGATAGATCAACGGCTTGTGAACTTCGGCTTCGGATATTTTAGGTGTGGAGTGTGCGGGGGCTGGGCGGTAAAATGCACGTGACACAATTTGGACAAAAGGCAACGTTATGGTTGCATGGATGCTGATGGTCATGTATGTGCAAGTCACCAATCTAACAAGGGTAACCGATTTTCCCTGGCGTTCACACTCTGGTCATGGTTTGATAAGATCCGTCCCGAAAAGACTAGAACAAGTTTTTGCTACGTGCTGCATGACGAGACACGACGACTATGAGTAAGTTGTAACGGAGTAGTCGACAAAGTGCGCATTAGACCATCATGGACCTGTCTTTAGATATTTCCCAAAGACAAGTCGGGTAGCGGGCAGATACGTGAACGAGCACGGAATCAGAAATAACTCACCACGCAAAATGATTCGTTCTCACAGGGCTCGCACAGCCTGTTTAGTTCAACGGGGCTTCAAAAAGCCAAAACATGGGCTGGAATTATTGTTGTAGGTCGGGCAAAAGGTTTCGAACTAGCGTTGCTGGTCGCACATGGATCGAGCTTCCGGCTCTTATGTTCACGTGGCTCACACATATGAGGTTCCGTGCAGTCTTCCTCAATAGCAAACAAGAAACACGCTCATCCGCCTCAGGTGCCTGAAGCCTTGGTGAGATTGCTGCAAAAGCCCCATACAAGCTCAAGACGGCCTCTACAGTAGCCAGCGACCTTTTTAAATTTTACTGCGCAGCAAGGACCGCGGACCCATCTGTCGCCTAAAATCACCGATTCAGCTCAGCTAAGCAAATGTTCACTGGTCAAAACATTGCCGGTGCGCGTTGGCAACCATCCAAATGGGCACAATTGCCTCTGGAGCCGAAGTCGCTCAAAGTGTTGTCAAAATCTTGTTGCTACTGTGCTCACTTGGTCTGCGTCGCGCGCTTCTCCATCTTACGGCACACGGACTGAAGCATAGAGGACAGGTTGTGGCACTTGCCCCCTTGGAACTCAATCACTTCCTGGACCTTGCGCAGGGCCTCCTTGCCGTCAATCGGTGACAACCTCTTCAGAGACATCAGCGCGCGGTCGTCAAGCTTGCTGTTCACCATCTGCTCTAAGCTGAACATTTGCTTCTCGACCTCCTCATTCAATGAGCTGGTCGGTGTAGGCATTGGGGTTCTAGACTCTGGCGTCTCCGACTCCCCGTTGCTGCATCGGACCTTGGCCACGAGACCGACGGGATCCGACGGGGCTCAAGGGACTTCAGGTTAAACATTTTATCCTCTTTCGTGCAACAGGCTCGAAGTACTGAGCCCTTTGCAGCCCGGCAACCGTTCACTCTGACTAGAGTGGGGTTCAGGGGGAGCTTGTAGCGGGGGCTGTGAGGAATCATGCCGGAGAATCTCGACCAGTAGATTACACTCTCGAGGCTTAGACCCAAACCCTTGAACTCCTCCCGGTCCGAAGCATCCAACTTATCTTCTCACAAACTCCCCAAGGCGCTCAGGAACAAACCCTGATGCCCCGAATCAAACCCAAATTACCCAAACAAGAACCGCGCCTTGGCATGTGGGAGCAGGGCCTGCGAGAGGGATGTGAGTCCGCTTGGCTGAGGTGCTTAGGGTTTAGGCTCCGGGATCGCGCCTCATTTTGGGAGGACTTCAGATTGCGATATTCAGATATTCAGTTTCGGTAGGTGCTGCGGTGTCGAGCGAGTCGACTGCAGGGATCTCGGCAGCATTTCCGCGCAGCTTTCCGATTCAAGGTTCGCGTTTGCGGAATGGAACTGTTGAGGCCAGCAGTGCAAGTGATCAGGGGCTTCCAGCTAGAAAGCTGGTTGGAGAGGTGCGTGTTCCTGTGATGGGGCTTGGAGCCAAAAGCAGTGGGAATGTGCAGAATGCAAGGCCTTGGGCCAACGGTCAGAACGCCACTCCCAAAGTCTCAGGCCTGAACTCCTGTCCAGATCTGTCCAAATAACCTTGAAATTTCGTCCTTCACATGACCACATCCACATCGCTGCTCGACCCTGCGCGCTAAGGCAGAAGTGCCAGGGTTTTGGGAATATGGCTCGGGGTAACTGAAAGCAGCAAAAGTATGTTAACATCCCAAATCCGACACCAAAACTGCAAAGATCTACAAAGCAACAGCCCGATCCCTCAAAGCCCTGAAGCCTGAAGCCCTGCCTCTGCTCGACACCCCTGACAAACCCTCCCTACATCCGTAAACTCCCTGAGTACCGACGTCCGAGGCAGCGACCTCCCTTCAAATCCCGAGTGAGGAGCCGCAGAATCCTCAAAGCCAGGACCCCGCAAACCCCAAACCGGGTGCTCCTCGAGCTTCGAGACGCCGCCGCCCTCACAAAGCCCTGAAGGCCCCTAAAGGCCCTGAAGGCTAACGGGTCCTGGCCTGGAGTTCCGAGGCAATGGTCTTGGTGCTCGAGGTGTTTCCATTGGCACTCCCTGGGCTCGGCTGGTTCGAGATCTCCTCGGCTCCACGTGATCAAAATGCCACGGATGAGATATGGGTGGCTGTCAAAATTAGGGTCCCTTTTTGGGTCCTTATTATAATGCGGCACCTATTACCTAAGTTTGACAACTACCCATATATGGTGAGATTCTGGAGAGTCGTCGGGCGGCAGGGCGGGCAGGCTGAAATCCAAGTACTGCTGAGACTTGTCAGACTACTTGCACTAACTACCTAGGCTTGCTGAGGCATGGCCATATCCTATCGCATTCACTCACAAGGAAAAGACGCTCGTGCCTTCACTTGATCGACGCCGAGGTTCCACGGACTGATCAGTCGTCATGTCCCACTGCTCTCCTCCCATCATGCCATCCATGGGCCTCAGCACCAGGGATTTTCGGATTTGGCGCACCAAACGGGAGCCAGTATCACTGATCAGATGGTTACCCCATGTGGCTTAACATTTGAAGATCCAAGACAAGCCATCGAACGGGGAAGCCGTCGAAACACCCTTGGACCAGGTCACATGGTCGTGCTGCTAACGTCGGTGGCCATGCCCGACCACCACGTGGTCGCCATGTTCGACACGTTGGAGCCTAGGCTTGGGGTTTGCGGGCTTCAGGTGCTATGGCTGGCTTCCAGGGTGCTGTCGAAGTGGGCTCGGGTGTTTTGATACTTGATACTGAGCACAGACGCTGGAGGAAGTGGGTCTCTTGGCTCTCGCCCTGGTCGACAAGCGGAAACCCAAGCCCTGCAAGCCCGAATCGTTACCCCCCTAGACCGTTCAAGCCGACACCCCTTCAAACCATTTCGCACCCACTCAAACAGAATAAACTTTGACAACGCCCACAAGGTAGAGGAGCCCTCCGAGGCATCAAGGTGGTGGATGATGGCATCGGCCTCTTCCCGGGGGATGTCGTAGCGGTCTAGGATCTTCTGGTAGGCTTGGATCTGCCTGGCTTTGTCGTTCAGGGGTGGCATGGGGCGTTGGGTTTTGAACACGAGAAAAAAGAAACGGATCGGCACCAGGGAAACGACTTGGTGTTTTCTTCTAAGGGGTCCTAAACTCTTAACCCGAAACCCGCCTCTTCATGGCTTGCTTCTCCTTCTCATGCGTGAAGCGGATGTTCTCAATCTGAGTTTGCAGCTCCATCACTCTGCTGTCTCCCGACTCTTGCTCCTCGGTGTACGTCTTGTTGCTGTTCTGCGCCTCGTTGCAGCCTCCACTCTGATCGGAGTTCGGGGCCATAACCCAGCCTCCCACCATGAAGCAGGGAGGTGCCTCCATCATCATGATCACCGGACCTGGCATCTCCATGTTGTTGGCCACAGTGCCCATGTTATTGGTGTGGGGCACGAACTCCTCAGTTCCCCAGGCATGGGAAGCGGGGAAATTCTCTAGACTTATTCAGATTTGTTTATATGCATAACTGAGGAGTGGCGTATGGATGGTTAGCAACTAGATAAGCATATAGATGGGCATATACAGTTACAGTTATGCAGAGAGAGAGAGAGATCAGAGATATCTATACATTCCTCTGCACATTCACTTAAACCTTTCAGATCGTGTATCACGAAAGTGAGACGAACACTGCTGGAGAATATACCGTCCACACTATACCGCATCAGTTCTGAAGCTAGGCAGGGCTCCGGTGCATCCGGCTTCCATGACCACTGTCCGTGACCATCGGGGCCCTGCACCTTCAGGGCCATGGAGGTGAGGGTTTAGGAGCTTTAAAGTTAATTTGTAGTTTGGCCGTGCCAGCACCGATCCTCAGCAACATCATCATCATCAACCTCATCGCCATCATCGTCATTATCATCATGGGTAAACGACCACCAGGTCAGGCAGCGTACGCCGCAGGCATCGGACACGAGCAAACCCAAGCTTGAGAAATGGAGTGCCGAAAATAATCGCGATCATGCGCATCTTGACATGCGCCACGACAATTAAAATCATGAGAGTGGCCTGTCACGACGACAACGACGACTACAACGCAACAACATACAACGATGGTGCCGACAATGACGACACAAGAAAACCGTCAAATAAGCACGCGCCTCACAACCACCACAACCACAATGGAACACTCGCAACAACAACAGCAGCATAAGCAGCAGGAGCAGCAGGAGAAGCAGCAGCGGTAGCAGCAGGAACACAAGCAGCAGCAGTGAAAGCGTAACGATGCAGGAGTCGAGGAAAAACAGGCGCGACAAAAGGTCCTGGATTCGGACACTCCAGAACCCACATGCCAGCAATGCTCCTGCTTTCGGCGCAACGGAACTGAGCGACACACACCAGCATGGAGACGAAAGCAACACTGGACACATGCTGCAGTCATCTTTGTGACAACAAGAAGCAGCATGATCGCAGCAGCAGCAGCAGCAACATAGTGTCGTGAGAAGTGGACCGAAGCCCCTGCCTGAGCGACCTGATGGTGGTTGGTGTGGCAGATTGGGCTTCCTGGCTCGCTCGGAGTCCTGGCACAAGCAAAAAGGAGCTCAAGTCGAATGCTTCGCCAACTTTGGCCCTGAAGATAACCCCAGCCACGACATGTATCTCAACCCCGCGAAGAGGGTCCTGCAGGCCGACATCCAAGCCGCAGGGCGCTTCTCCGGCTCTTGCTCACTTGGGACCACCGCGGTGGAGTTCGTTGAAGTGTTCGCCATGGGGCCTCGAGCGATGCGGGTTGGCGATGGCAAGAAAGGCCCTAGTCAGACCGCGACAAACAACAGTTACACGAATTGGCACAAAACATAACCTTGCTGGTCGCTGTAATATGTGATGACAACGACGATGCAGATGAAGATGCGCATGGTGATGACGATGATGAAGACAGAGAACAACATGATGATGATGATGATGATGATGATGATGATGATGATGGCGGTGTTGCTGCCGGTGGTGCTGCTGGTGGTGCTGCTGGTGCTGCTGGTGCTGCGCGTGCTGGTGCTGGTGCCGGTGCCGGTGCCGGTGCCGGTGGCGATGGCGGCGGCGGTGGCAGTCGGTGGCGGTGGCGGCGGTAGCGGTGGCGGTGGAGGCGGTGGAGGCGGTGGAGGCGGTGGAGGCGGTGGCGGTGGCGGCGGTGGTGGCGGTGGTGGCGGTGGTGGCGGTGGTGGCGGTGGTGGCGGTGGTGGCGGTGGTGTCGGTGGTGGCGGTGGTGGCGGTGGCGGTGCAGGAGGTGGTGGTGGTGCTGGCGTTGCTTGTGCTGGCGCTGGCGCTTGTGCTGGGGCTGGTGCTGGTGGCAGCAGTACTGGTTATCATAGCAGTTGTTGCTGCGTTTGATGCTTCTGTTCTCTTCTCGATCCAGGATAGACTTCTTGTGACGGAGCACAGTGATAGCAGCCACGCGCGCATGGGTCGCATGTGCAGCCGTCGTCGGCAGAAGCAGTATAGCGGTCGTAGTAGTGGTGGCCTTAGTAGTGGTGGTAGCAATAGTGGTAGTAGTCATTAGACAAAAACAAGCACTAGTAGTAGAAGAAACACTAGTAGTAGTAGCAGTAGTAGTAGTAGCAGTAGTAGCAGTAGTAGTAGTAGTAGTAGTAGTCGTAGTTGTGGTTGTGGTTGTGGTTGTGGTAGTGGTAGTGGTAGTGGTAGTAGTAGTGGTAGTGGTAGTAGTGGTAGTAGTGGTAGTAGTGGTAGTAGTCGTCGTAGTAGTAGTAGTAGTAGGAGGAGGAGGAGGACAGAAACACAAGTAGC